TGGGTTCCACAGGAAGAGGAAGGGAGTTTGACAAGTTGGCCTCACTTTGCAGACAAATACCTGACGAGCCACAGTCACAGCAGACGTCATTCCCAGGGAGCCGCTGGACGTCCTCGATGATGGCTTTTGTCAGATCTTCCAAGCTGTTCTCCCCCGCACTCTGCTCTCCACGGAAGGCCATGGTCAAGGCCTCTTCTTTGCTATTTGTCAACACTGATATCCACCTGTCGTCAAAACAGGATGAAGGAGACATAAGAGCACGGCCACTGTTTCCTCCTTCCACTGCAAAAAATCCTGTTTTCATCCATAAATGCCAAAAGAGACATCCCTTCCCCTGAACAGCCATAAAGTGAGGAATAATGAAAGAAATTAAACCTAATGGAAAGAGACACTTAAGGAAATGGGAGGGATGAGAGAGGTAAAGGTCACCACCGCGGAGGGCTCGCACGAATACTCAGGCACGTGCACTTCCGTCTGGACAGAATCGAGGGAGTGTCAGAATGAGGAGGCCGCGGCGAGGGGCCAGCCCAACGCGAGGATGAGAAAGGACTGGTGAGAAATGGATGGGAGGCGGGGAAGAGATGAGCCAAAGGCGCCCGCTCTCTGGAAGACCGTGTCAGTGAGGCACTTAAGAGTGAAAATGGATATGATGTTGCATTAGCAGCCACGAAAATGCAAGCTTCCGAAAAAGGTATATTAACGTGGAAACATGCTGACTTTTATTACGTGAAATGAAAAGTGAAGGCTATTAAATCATATATACATTAAGATCACAATATGTATCAAATAAAACAATCCTTTGCCACCAACCTGTGCATAAAACCACCTAAATACTCTGATTAATAAAGCATGGAATAGCCACAAAGTAGAACACTTAGCTAGGTATTAAAGTTTGAACTAATTTTGGTATGACATTAGGGAAGTGCTCAGGACATAATGTTTAGTGAAATAAACAGATAAAACAATTATATGATGTAACCCCAAGTTTAAATGTATGTGTGCATTATGTACTTCTGTTCTGGGGTAAAAAAAGGCTAGAAGGAATTTCACAAAATGTTACCAATGGCTGCCCTTGGGTGATTTTCTATAGGAAAAATGGATAATAGATGGATTGCTTGACTCTGTGCCTTTCTGTAAGTTTCTGTATCTATCAGGAACTTGTATTTCCTTCATGAATGAAGAAAAGAAGTCGAATTTATTTTTTTAAGAAGAAAATGAAAAACATTTCCAAACCACAGTTTGTTCCTACCTACTGCATAGCCAGCTAACACCTATCTTCAGCCGAGAAAACGGAAGTCTAGAACCAAGCCTCTAGTTTTTATGTGTGTGCCTTGTAGGGTCAAATGGATATGAAACAAAGGACTATGTGTAAAAGGTTTTGAGTAACTAGGAGAGACAGCAATGGGAATTGAAAGACAAACCAAACTACCTGAAGGATGTGCCCTGCAAGTCGCACCTTTGACCCTAGGGGGCGCTCACCTCCAGCATGTTGTGAGACAGCTTTTCCACTCTGATGCTGAAAACTCAACACCTCGAAACCAACAGTCTGGGAATGGCGGTGGAGTGGGGTGCAGTGGTCACTTAATCCATTTTAAATTAAATAGCATTTTTTCTATTGTTTTGTCTCAAGTTAGAAACTAGAAACTTTTGTTAAAAACAGTTTAAAAAGCTGGATTCAACAGAATCCATCACTGCACTTTATCAGTGGCATCGATATTACTGAGGTTTTCACTTCAGCAGCAGAGTCTCTGCTTTGCTTTCCTTAAGCATTGTAATATTTTGCCTACCTAATAATACAAGTATCTACTATGTGCCAAATACTTATCATTTTTGATTTATGATCTTCCAACAAGCCTCTGAGTTAGTGCCTATAACACTTCACAGACGAGGGAGCTGAAGCTTTGAGAAGCTAAATGACTTGGGCAAGGTCCCACAGCTGGACCGGTGTCAGACTGAGATGCAAAAACACTTCTGATAACTCCCTTTTTCCAGAGTTCCTCCCATTATGCTGTTTTTGCCTCTTTACTCAAGAGCTCATGGCGAATAGAGATATTCAGTCGTGATATTCAGAAAGTACATACTTAAAGGACAATTTTCTAGAGGAATGCTTCTAATCTGGTGGAATGGAATGACTACGTTTTAAAAGGGTGGAGGATCAAAGTAACTATTTCTGACAATTAAAAAATATTATTTTAAGTAACAGACATACCAAAAATATAGGAAATAATGCATAATTGTATTTTAGTATTTCAAAAGTCACTTTGAGTTTACAGATTAAAAAAGTTGGCACTGTGCTGGGAGCTTTACACATTTTGTCGCAAGTCTCAAAATCCTGTAAGCGAGGTCTCTAACCCCCATCGTACTGGCAAGCACACTGAGGTGGGAAGGTCTGCCCAAGGTCAAGAGGCCAGTGATGGGCAGAGCCAGGACCAGAAATCCTGTCGGCCTGACTCTAAACACGCAGCTGCTCCTTCTGCTGTGCCTGCCGCCTGCCTCGGTGGGAAGCGATTTCTTCATTCTCTTTCACCAGACAATTTCACACGAGAAAGAAGCAACGTTACAGTGAAAATGCCTCTGCGTAACTTGGAAGTAAATGAAGAAATGAGGCCTCCCTCCCGGGAATATGCTTGCGCTGCTGAATGCCATTACCTCCTACATCACTCAGAACAAAGTCCCCTTGTCACATCGCCACCTGTACCCAGAGAGAATTCCAAGTGCCTCACATGCCACAACTGCAGGGTGGGCCAAGAACCCTTTTAGTGAAGGGCGTGTGGTCCCGTGGGCAGGAAACCAAGACCTCTTTGACCAAACTGAATTACCTGTAGGTCATAAGAGTAAATAAAACACGAAAGGCCCAGGTCTGAGATGCAGGAGACACAGGAGCGGATGTTTCCTTGCCTCACATACACCACCTCCCCGTCCTCCCGCTTAGGGCTCCCGGGAAGGGCAAAGCAGCGAAGAGTGAAATAAGGAGGGGGAGCAACATTCAAAGTCATTTTGGAATTCTGTCCAGGTAACTCTTCATGGGACCTGTGCATGGAGTGCCCCGTACCTGTGACTGCCCGCTGTACCTTTTTTTAGAGGGAACCAGTAACACCCACCACAACCAGGAACGGTGACCTGCTCGAATCACGCACTTTAACAGCCACCTTCCAAAGGGGACCTTAAAAGTAAACCGAGCGATGCCGACCAAACCAAGGCAAATGCAGCGGCTTGGACTCTTCAATTCTCTCACCTCCGAATTGCTGTCCAATGACCCCTGGGCTCTCAACCGCACAGCTGAACATCTTATGGAGCCAGCGTCATAAGCTGGAAACAGCCCGAGCACCAGAGCCAGAATTCCAATCACACATCTCTGGTTTTGTTTTGAGTTTAATCACTTGCAAAATGGGTGTGATTATGCCAACCTTGTGGTGTGTTTGGAAGATCAGTGGAACACAGGTGAGCCCTGCTGCTTGGCTCACAGCAGGCGCCGACAGCCACGGTACAGGGCAGGCTTCCTTCTCCATCCTGACCACAAGACCCCTAGGAGACCAGGGGTGGGACCACAAGTGTACTGTGCCTCAATTTCCCCGTTTTCAGGGATAACGGTCCCTACTTTCTGGGGCTGTGAGAATAAGGCGGCATGACATGCATTTTGCACAGTGTGATCGTAACAAAAGTTATGGGTTTTTTTGTTTTTGTTTTTGGTAACTATTACTTCTTTCTGAATCTAGGGTGGAAGGCCGGCCCTCATGACTTTTCCCGTTCTTTTCCGGTTTCTCGTCACCCTCCAGCTGGCCAACTCTGCACCTACACCATCCAGCCACCAGTCGCTTCCTTCCTCTTCCTTCCTGTTCCTTCTGGGCCAGCAGAACCTCCCGCCTGGACCGCGGAGTATCTGTAACCCTCCCACAGCTTCCCGAGCCAGCTCAGGCATCTACCTTCCTCTCGGAAGTCATCTCTGAGCAGCACCCCAAGAACCCAAGAGGGTGTGCACCCGCGCCCTCTGTCCCTGCACTGACACCTGAGTGCCTTCGGGCAGGGGCTCCGTCCACCCGCACGCTGTATTCTCCATGCTTTACACGGTTCTCCGCCCACAGTCCGCATTCCTGAAATATTCAGATGAATGAATGGCCAGGAGGCCTTCCTCCTCTCCTCCCTTCGTCTCTCTTTCTTTCTCTCCCCTCGGCTCTTTTGCTGTTTCTCCCAACTCTACCTCCTTTCTACCCATTTCGTACTCTCTTCCTGATCCCCATCATTTCTCCCCAGAGATGGGGAATGAGTAAAATTCCCCAGAGGAAGAGAAAGAGAAAGGGGTGAGTGTAAGGAAGAAGGGTGTCAGCAGAATCTTGTCGCTCTACAGAAACTAGAAAGGAAAAAATTTATGGTGCGTCACTGACGGGACAGAAACTTAAAAATCTGAACACTACAAAAAGGTTCAGCTGCCAGCTTTAACACAAACGTCCCCTCTCTCACGCCTCTGAAAAGGTAATGGTCACGCGCTGCCTTTTTCAGTCCTGGCAGGAAGAGGGAATGAAGAAGGCTCAGGACCAGGGATGACATTACGAAAGGGGGCTGCCTGAGGCTGCGCACCTGATCAGGTGAGGAGAGGGTTCGACCCTCCAGGGGAGTGTGACACCAAACCCAGTCCTTCCCGCTCCCTGCTTCTGTCACAATGACACAGGAGTCCAGGTAGCCTGGCTCATGCATTTGGCCACCGAACACTGGGTAAGCCCCGCCTAAGTGCAGGCGATGATGAAGGCGCGGCCCCTGCCTCAGCAAGCCCTTGGTCTCTAGAGGGCTCCCAGTGAACTGGGGGAGGGACCCCAGGGGTGTGAAGAGGCCGCGGGGGTGAGAGGAGGGAGCAAAGCCCCAGCGTGCTGAGGCTTGAGCAGGATCGTGAAGGGGGCACCGGAGTGTCCTGGACACCTCAGACAGAGAGAAGAGCAACGTGTGACAGCCTGGAGGTGAGAAGTTGGCATGTGGAGCCACCAAGAGTGGCTCCGAGTCATAAAAAGAGAACGTCGAGGCACACTGCACAGGACGGGGTGCACTGGGCCATTATTTCAAAACTACTTACGCTACATAATCCTGCTCATCTTCTGCCTGAAAGTGATACGTCCTATTATCTACAATACAAAAAAGAAAACAAAGTGAAACCTTAGAAAGCAGAATACCTTCAGGTACAGCGCAAATTCCGGAAGTTCCTGGGGAAAAAAAAAAACCACAGGGAAAGTAGGATTTTAATATTATTTTGTTTTTGCACCACTTTATCTTAGCAGTTACAGAATTCACTTTGTCAACATTCTTTTTCTGAAGTGCCAGAGGAATACAATGAAACAAAGGCAAATCCCATGCGAACACCTGGCACTTCTGAAAAAAGCGGGGAGGAGGATGAGTCCTACCTGGTCAGACGAATCTCCGCGACAAATGGGAGAATGTCAGCTGCCAGTTCAGGATTTTACTTGTCATGGTCAATTTGCCTTTTACTGTGTTTAAAAAATTATTTCCTTTTCAGAAACGGTTCATAAGCCAGGGAGCAGCTCTGACGAGCCGGCGTACTCTGCCCCAGGGAAGAAGCTTCAAATGCTGCCCGCACGTCATCGTCAAGCTGCTCTCCAGGTGGGAACTGCATCACGTGGGCAGGTGCACACGAGGGAAGCTCTTTTTTAAAGTTCAGAATTCACGAGAACCCTTCAACGTATCAAGTCAAACTGACCTTTCCTTACCAGCCCGCCACTCGCTGTGTGGCTGCTCCAGGCTGGGCACTCACGCCCCTCATGCCCAGAGATGGTGTATACGTCCAAGAACATGGAAGGGTAGCAGAGCCCAGGAGCCCCGGACGGATGGGTCCCTGCTTCACTGCTATGCGAGTCACTGAACCTCTCTGATGGGGCTTTTGTAAGGATGAACAATAATGCATATAAAGCACCTGGCACATACTAGACGTTCACTAACTGATAACTTGTTAATGACCTATGGGTTTCCTGGCTTTTTGAAGTCATACTATAAATTCAACTTCTCATTAATAAACTGAGAAATCTGGTCATTTCTGGTTATTTGGTCATAAAAATCACGAGGACTCTGAATTCCAATAGATGCTATAGAACCCAGCTCAGACTCCACACAGAGCCTCAGGGCTAACTCGGTCTTTGTGGTGGGGCTGATTTTTGGCTTCCCTCCACACAGTAACATCAGAAGGATGTCAGGGCGCAGGAAGGCACTTCTGTGCTCTGCATTGACCATGCTGTACCCCCCACTCCCTGCGCCTTCGGCCTGGTCATGGGCCCTAAAGAGAACAGAGAAGGGCACTGTCATGGGATGTCAGCGTACCTGTGGGAGTCAAAAGGGTGTCCCCTCAGCTACAATGAGGCTTGTAAGTGCACCCATGGGACCAATGCAGGTGCAGGGAGCCAGCCTAGAGGAACCTCCAGCCCCCGCCCACTCTCTGAAGACTAGGGGAATACAGGGCATGGGCTGGGGTGCGCGGATCACCATGCGCCCTCACCACAAGAGAAGCTCTGAGCCCTGGAGTCGTCGACACATGGAGTTTGAAGGCGGTTACCCCTGGAAGCAAGGGGGTGATTTTTCCCATAAGAGCCCAATTTTGCGGGGATAAACTTTGGGTACGTCAGCTGTACATGCACAGCGGCACACCTGCGTCCCCAAATCTACCTCAGTGCTTCTTAACCACAGGTACACCAGACGACCACCTGGGGCCTTCCGACAAAACACCTACGCCTGGCCTCACACCCATGCCAGTCGTTTACAGGTTCTGGAGAGAAATGCAAATGTACTTTGAAAAACCTCTCCGAGGGGGTGATGCCATGTACCACGGTCAAGAACTGGTCTAGGTTAAGGCACCACACGTCGGACCTGACACTGTCGTGCTCTCCTTCGGAGCTGGTGGGCTCCGTGCGGATGAAGGGGCCTGGGGGAGCCTCCCAGAGCTGCGAGTGCAGGAACCCCAGCACACCTGCTGGGAAACTGCTGCTTCGACGCCCAGAGAAGGGACACGTGACCGACTCGGAGAGAAAAAGGACTCACGTGAGATCAGGTCGAAAGACTTCTTGTCCTCGGCATTAGGTTTCACCTGACAGGTGAGAAGGTTCAACTTAGCTGGCTGCCTGTTGGACTGGAACAAAGAGAAAATGGAGGTGTTACCAGCGGCTCCTCTCGCCTGCGGCGGCAGCGCCCTGGGGGGGCGGGGCGGCGGTAGATCCAGGCAATAATTTGATAAAGCCTTATTTCGTCCATTAGGGTTCTGAATCTCATTAAAGAAAAAATTTTGGGTGGCCTACTAAATGTCTTTTAACTGTGCATAAATATCCCGGTGATTAATCAGAATGGAACCAGGAAAATCCGCCTTTCAATGAAGAGTGGGCGTGGTCCATGGAAATATACCTTCTGGGACGCACACATATCCAAGCACGAAGTTATTTCATTCATTCATTCAGAAGGACCCCAGTACCCAATCATCCCAAACCTGATGTCCAAGATAACCACAAGTTTTGATTACAGTAGAAATGTACATTACTTCTCTCAAAAGTATAAGGACAATTACCAGCCTCCAGATGTAGCTTAATGAGCCCCCAAATCTAGAGAGAGAAAATGTAGCCAGGATTTCACATTACTCATCAGCAAATCACTTGGTCACACATATAATTTATATGGACCCTGTAGTATCTAGATAGTCATGCTGAATTAGGCTTTGACTAAATGGAGTCTTGCCACGTAGTCAAAACTCTTTTTTGCCCTCCTGCCTGCATTTGTCCAAGGTCACACACTGGCCAATAGCTGACGCCAGCATGTCTGCTTCCCGCGGGAGCTGACCATGGAGTGGGACGCCTGGCTGCCTGGGCTGCGCTGGGCTGCAGCGAGCCCTGGAACTCTTTGGTAGGGCTGTCTGCCCAACTGCCAATTGTGATTCTCAAAACCCCCGAGCCTGGAGCATTTCCACACAAGCAACTTAAGTTTTTAGGGAAAACAGAGGTGGAGGAGGTAGGAAGAGGTCACAACAGTGAGTAGCCGAAACTCAGAACAGCAGCAATGACATGTGATTAAGACAATGGCAATGGCCGCCCCTCTTGGTCTTGATGATGGGAACGGACACTTAATTCTGTCCACCTTCCTGTGATCTGCGGACAGTTTTCAGGATCTTCTTCCCCGTGTGGTTTGAATGAGACTAGATACTGAAAACAAGGCCCCTGTCCTGTGTCTATCTGTTCCAAAGCGAGCTGTCTGCGGGGAGGAAGCGAGAGGCCCGGGGGAGTTCATGTCCCCTGCACGAACGTGTGGCTTAGACATGGAAACCAGGAGCAAAGGCCCGTGCAGGTGACTTCCGCCCACGTGGCAACAGTGCCTGGGCAAGGAGTCCTGCACTATGGAGCCGGTCACCTGATCCAGACCGGGAGGCGTGAGGCCGGGGGATGGACATTTTTCTTCTAACAGACCTGGAGTTTGGGCTGCTGAAAGCCTCAGACTCCAAACCAGCAGCTGCACCAGAGACCTAAGCCCCGGCCACTGGAGAAGCAACTCTCCGTCCTGCAGCTCAGCTCCTCTTTTGGGACGTTGATAAGAACCACTGGATTTCCCATACGAATGACAGTGACATCCGACAGCCTGAAAGGTAGCGATCCCAGTTAACGGACTCTCGGGAGAATACTACGTTCCAATTCGGCATCCACATTTAAAGAAGGATGCAGAAAAGCTTGGGGAAGATCGAGAGATGATTAAAGGACTAGAAAAGAGGAACTTTAAAGATGGGCTACAGACGCTATTTAGTCCAGAGGAGAGAAGGCTGGGGAGTACTTAACGACCATCTTCAAGTACACGAAGGGTTGCTATAGGGGAAGGGTGGCAGCTGTTTGCCATTTGCACAGACGAAGAAGAAAGGCACCCAAATTGTAGAAGATCTGAGCCAGACGTAAGGGAGAACTCCCAAGCTTCAGTTGATTATGTATAATGAGAAGTTTCAAGTTTCTTAACCTAAGCAGAGAAAAAAGTTAAGAATTTTTAGATACCATCCACATTTGAATGTGGCAGAGGGTTAACGAGATGATTCCTTTTTCTCCCCAAATCTATGTTAGTCCAGTGTTTCTGAACCTTGCCAATAGATACAATCAATATAACACAGAATAGATACAAATTTTAAAACAGGAAAAAAATAGTCAAGTTCAGTATTAATTGATTCAGGAGAATGCAACAGCACCAGTCGCCTCTCATTCCTAAGCATGGACTACTTCAAAGCGTATTACCAGAAAGATTCTGATGACAGGATGTTATATAGTCTGTCATTCCACGGCTGACCCACAGCTTCAGTGAGGATGACATACGATATGTGCTCCCTTGAAGTCAAGCCCACAGGACTGACTTAGCTGCACCAACATGAACTGCACTTGACACTGATGCATCTTGTCACAGCAAACACAGCCAATACCAAGCCAGGAACACAAAAAGTTGGAGTAGTACTCCCAACCAAAGTCCCCAGACCGAGGCACCAGAAGGCTCAAGAATCACTATAGTAAAAACAGTAATTTCAGATTTACTTAATTTTACAAAATTTTAAAGTCCTTTCTTGAAATCGAGTACTAATTTATAGGTATATTGATTAAAGAAGGTATAATCTTCCTGGTGCTTCAGCACACTAAAACACACAGTAAGGCTAAATGACTTGCCTGCAGCTACATCGCCATGGAAGTTTAGAAAAAGCTTTCACATTGTTTAAGTACAGGAAAGAAAAAAGAAAAACCAAACCCCAAGGAAACACGTATTTATTGAGTCCTTCCTGTTGATGAGTCCTACCACACTGAGAAGAAAAATCTACACCGGGACCTCCCGGCTCATTCTGACTCCAGGTCCAGCCAATGTGTCTGCTGCTCCCTCTGCTGGGCGGTGGAGGGCACTGTCCACTCCGCACCCCCCCTCCCCCCGCCCCGCTGCCGCGCGCGCGCGCGCACACGTGCACACACGCGCACACACACACACAAACACACACACTCACTCACTCACTCATTGTGCCTGACCTCTGGCATCCCCCTGACCGCTCCATCCCTCCCTACCTGTCTCTCACAATCAGCTCCTCCGGAGAGGGCATTTCCTGGCTGCCCACTCTCCCTCCTGCCCTGCTGGACTGTCTTTCAGGCTCTCATTGCTCCTCATTCGCTTGCTTTCTCCCCACGAAAAGCACACATTTTTCAGTTTTTTGCGCTAAAATGCGCCTGGCATACAGCAGGCACTCAACACATAAATGTTTATCAAATGAACAAGTGCAGTCCAGGCGTGTCACACATACTGCCTCACGTACTACTCGAGGGGGGTCTTTCTAGTTTCTTCCACTAACTAAGATGAAGAGACAGGAACAGAGAGGTTAACTAACGTTCCTAAAACCTCCCAGTGAGGAAACGGCAGAGCCTGGAACTAGACCCAGGTGAGTGACCAAAGCCTGGTCCCTCTGTTTCCACCATGCGGTGAAGGCCTGGACAGACTGCCATGCGACAGCCTAGGGTCGGCCAAGGCCCAGCGGGTGAGAACATCTAAGAGCGCAGGTCAGAAACAGAGAGAGTGAAGGTGCCAAAGGTTAAATTCTGTTTTAATATCTTCCGGGGTCTTTTGGTTCTCCTCCAATTACTTACTTTACAATTAATGAAAAGAGAAACTCTGGGGGCCTACTTGAAATATCTACTCATTTATTTGACAAGATAGCTATTAAGTCTCTACACATTCTAAGCACACGTCAAAAACACGCCATCCGTGCCATCAAGCAGCCGTGGGAAACAGACCCGACCACGGGCCCAGAACAGGCCCAGTGGCTGGGGGCCTGGGCCTGAGCTCACAAGTGCACTGAGGGCCTTGACAGACTCCACAGGCAGCATCGACTCAGAGTGAGCACTGCGGGGGGGAGGAGCAAGGCAGATGAGCAGGCAGAGCGAGGGGCAGGTGCAGGCACCTGGGTGGGGGTGGAAGGGACAAGGGCGGTAGGTGATGCTGATGGGGAGGCAGGAGAGACACCGTATGTGGCACTAAGAATTCACACTCCTGTCCCAGGAGCTCTGAAAACCTACTGATGAGAGTTCATCAGAGAGTGACCCATGGGTGTGCTTTCAGGGGACTGGATGGTGGCAGGGACGAGAGAGGGAGACGATGAGCAGTGAGGGGGCCTGAACCAAAGCTGTGGCCGTGGTGTGGGGGCCGCGGACCCGAGACACAGCTGAGAAGAGAGAGTGACCTGGGTGGATACGTGCGTCGCCCGGGCCAGCATTCCGAATGTGCGTGGAGGGAGGGCCACGCTGTCCCTGCAGGCTCTGCTGGCGCGACCTCTTTCAGAAGCTACAGGTGCTTTTGCATCCGGACGCCTTTCAAAAATGAAGATTTGGGGGCTCTGTTCCCTGAATGTCTCAGGCCTGTCCTTGTACAGATTTTACTTTTCATTAAAGTAACGCACATTCGTTGAAGAAACTCTAGGAGACCAAGAATGCAAAGAAGAGGCTGAATGTGACTTGTTAATCCCACTTTTACACCCAGGGACGATCACTGCTCATGCCTTGATTTTAACAAGGAGTGTGTGTGTGTGTGTATGTGCGTGTGCAAAATGTCTTTTCAAAAAATAATGGGTTGGATCCACTTGTATATATTGTTGGGCAAATTGCTGTTTTTCAATTAACAATATACAGATACATTCACCTTACACACACGCGCGCACACAGGCACACGCAGGCACACACAAGCACGCACGCACACGCAGGCACGCACACAGGCACGGTAGACCTAGTCTCATGCTTTGGTTTTTGAGAATGCTTCAACTGAGGAAGGTCTGGACATGTTCCATGAAGAGAAGTGACAAAGACATGACCCTTCGGACATAACGATGCCCGGCCACCCCAAACAGAAAGTGGCCGCTCGGCTGTGAGTCACCGAAATGTAAGCAGACGCGCACGCGGAAACAGGACGCGTCAACTGTGCCCTCTCTCTGCGTCTGTCCTCCGGCGGCTCGTTGCCACCAGCATGAGGTGTTCTCACTGGGGGCGTAAAGCCGTTGGCGCGGGGACACTTCTCTGCTGGCAGAGAACATCTGCTGCTGGAATCGGTACCCAGAAAGGGAGATTCCCCCGTCCTCCCGCTGAAACGCTGGGCTGCACAAGCAAAGAATGGACATCGTCCATTTCCTGGGAAGTGAGCCGACCCGGCCAGCCTGGGCCTGCGGCGTCGAAGGGGGTGAAGAAGAAATAACGAAGCCCTCGTCGCTCCCTCCGCTAGCGCTTGGAACCGTGTTCTCAGATATGGTCATTTCACTGTCCCTCAATAAAGGTTTACTGAGACACCTGTGCCCCAGAGGGACACATATTAGGCAAGCAATCAATAATCACGCTAACTCACTGCAAGAGATGAGGTCGGTACAGGCCGATCGCAGGCCACTCAGAGAGAGCTTCACTCCAAAATTTTTGTGCGTTACAACTACTGGCTTGGAAAGCATTTCGGTTTACTTGGGGCAAGGGAACAGTTTTCGTCTACTGGGGACCTAAACGGCTAGGTACTTTATAAAAACGTCATTGTTTAATTCTTGTAAGCTAGGTATTGATACTGTGCCCGCTTTTCAGATGAGGAAACCAAGGGTCAGGAAGGTGAAAGTAAACTGGCCATTGTTTTACAGAAAGTAAAAGGCCCAGAGCTTTGCTCTTGGGACATCTATAAAGTTAAGTGGAAACATCTTTCTTCTTCTCTAATTCTTTCTGCCCTTGAATGGCCAGTTCCTCATTTCCCTGGAGATCATATTCCGGCTGAGAAATCCCACCCATTCTTGACATGTTCCAAAATTATTATTGGCCATGATGAAAGCTCCCCTATCCCTCTGGTGACCCTTCAGACAGTTTAGGAAGGAGGAGCTAATTATCTAACTGAAATAATTCATGCTAGAGTGTGAATGACTACAAATTCTATTAAACCTCTCAATCATTTTAACCACAGGATTGATTTCCAGTTGGTAGAATAGGTATATGTGTTAAGAAAGATGTATTTGAAAATGGAGATTTCCTTGACAATCTTATTGCAGTAAGGAACTTGTCACTTTACTTTTGAGAGTTATGTTCCAATCTAAAATCAACATTAAACAATGTTGTAATGCAAACAGAAAAAAGAAAAGAGATTATCAGGGATCCTGATGAGGAGTGTGGTGATGATGTGACTGCATTTGGGGAATGTGCTGGATACTCCTTCATTTAGTCATTTCTGCAAACACTTATTGAGTGCCTACTGTTTGCCAGTATATAGAGTTTAGGTAGTACGGGAAGAACTTTTAAATTCACATTTCCTATTTAACTGTACTAACCACTTTAATCCATGCCTTGTTCCCCAATAGGAACTTAAAACCCCCAAACTTCCTAGAACAATTGCACAAAATACATTAATTTGATGATAAAACATCTGAGCTACAGGGACTATGTTTTTTAGAAAGTATTCTCATTACGTTTTATCAACAGTGAATTGTTGAGGCAAAAACTTATAACAGGTTTCTATTACCCTGGCGTACGAACAGCAGTTAATGAAGATGCGGGCAGGACCGCCACGTCCCCAATCACACAGCACGATGCGGGCAGGACCGCCACGTCCCCAATCACACAGCACGGCAGCAGGCACAGCAGGCTCTGCTCTAAGGGTTTCGCATCCACTCACTCGTTTAATCCTCACAACCACCCTAACAGCAACTACCACCGTTATCACCTCCATGAGACAGATGAGGACAGCCAGGCACAAAAAGGCTGAGTGACTTTGCCTTAAGGTCACAGCGAACAGAACGTTAGGTAAATGGAAACCATTTTTAAGGAATCCATTATTTCTTGTATCAGGGAGGGTGGCGTGGGGAGTAACATGAAAACTGGCTGATTTTCGACTGCAGGTCATTTGTTTTATACCTTCACATTTGTAAAAATGAGAATTTTCTTTAGTCTTTTTACCCTGTAACCAAATGGGTGCACTTTCTGAATTGGTGGGCTCTAAATTAACGAGGTTTTTACTCTCCTCATTTTTCTGCTAGAATTACAGAGTTGCTCTAGAAACCACAGAACGGCACGCACTGTTCCAGGCCACCAAGGCCAGGTGTATGAACCTCAGTCTTCCCTCCTGAGCTGCGAGGTCAGTGCTTTTGATCTGCCACCTCTTTTACGTTTTAACTCTTCGATTTCATGTTCCTTTCTTCATCTAAGAAACAAGTTTCTCACAAGAGTTTCCTCTACTCTCTGCTCAGCATGCAAGCAGGAGAGGCTTATACGGCAGTCCCTGAAATCCTACGCAGCGTTAGCACCGTGACACCTTGTGATTCCAGAGGATTCGCCAAAAGAAAGAATCCAGGGGGCAAAGCCTGCTGGTCTCTGAAGCCTGCATGAGAGGCTGTCACAAAACACCCAGTTTCCTTTGGGAACTGGTTCGCCTGGAGCAACGCAATATTCTGTTAATTTACAAAGGTAATTTACTCATCCCGTAAGGTACACGGTAGAATGGAGAAAAGAGATAATTTTGGAGGCAATCAGACCTGGGTTGGAGTCTAGGCCCAGACATCCACTGACAGAGCCATGAACGAGCACTTTAGGCTTCTGAGTCTCCGGTCTCCTTACCATAAGGAACATGATGCCCTCTCTACTGTGCTAAAGAATGTGGCAACGCAGACATGTGTCTGGTGGCCTATCCCCAGTGGCAGGCGCTGCAGACTCTGAAATTCAACCTCTTAGGCACAAATCTGGCCAGTGCCACTCAATGAGGTGACACTCACAGCAACAACCACTCTTAACTGATGAGACAACGTAACTCCTCAAGTTCCATAAAGGCCAACAGTTTCTTAGATGCAGTCATCTAGCAGGAAGGGCCTGGCCACAGGTGTGCACTGACCACCTTTAGTGTGTCAAGGTGTGTGAAGGGGTCAAAGGAAGAAAGACGAGCGGGACCCGCTAAGTCCTGGGGAGCGTACAGTCTAATAAGGCAATGGGGTTCTTTGTGGCTTGGTTTCTTCATCTGTAAGATGAAGGTTTGCCATGGTTTGCAGGGAGGATTAAATAAAATAAATTTTATTAAGTGTTTGGCAGGAAGAAGAGCCTCTTAAGTGGTACTTTCTCTCCTCCCCAGCAGAGGAAACCCTAACCTTGACTGTGAATAATGAAAAACTGCCAGTGTGATAAATGCTCACCGCTCGTTTCTACCATCCTGTTAGCAATCACCAGCGTAGCACAGCTTGGACCTCACTTGGTGCGATGCTGAAGTTCACTCGGGAGCTGCTTCTCCCAGCTGGGAGACCTGGGTTGAGCTACACGCCTTTGTAAAGACGCCTGGACTGCTCTGCGTTCTCTCTCTGCGTTCCTATTCCCACTTGATACATTGCGCATGATAATCTTTGCATTTTTGAAAATGAAAAAATATTTCTTGCTAGTTCTAAAAGGGCGGAGTCGGAATTACTGGTTTTACTGTGCATCTCTTTGACGGCCACCAAGTCGGAACCTTTTTTGACAAGTTTATAGGTTTTGTCAATATAGGACTTTTAGCTGGAAATGGGTGATACAAAAATAAAAATTCTAGATATGTCATAGGTATCAACTAGAAGTAAGTAATGTATATATATGCACACTGACAATCTAAAGAGAAAGAGAATATGTGTTAATAGCTTACTTCCTACTTTCTATTAAATTGCCTTTATTACTAAAAATAGGGGAGTCATAATCGAGACAGTTTTACTATTTTGCTGTTTTATGTACATTTAACCCTTTAACACAAGGATGGACTTTTTGAGTAGTATAAATAAACAGTAACTATAAAAAAAGATTGAACCTATTTTACGTGTACTGTTTTACTTCCTACTTTACTTTTTCATGCAAAAAACACCCTTCCGTCACTTTGAGAATTCAGAAAACTTTAGACCAATAATACCTCCCCAAAGGCAAGATTATAAAAGAATACCTGATTTGATTTGAGGGGACAAAGGACAGAAAGTTGTAGTGGAGCGACCGAGAGAGGCAGGACGCCACAGGACATGCCCAGTTTCTTCTGGAAAGGAATACCCGGGACCGTCTGACCCGAGTGCGCACATAAACACAGAGAATCTCAGCGCAGGTGACGTCGTGTGTTTGCTCAAAAGGCACAGCCGGCGCAGCACAAATTACCAGACACACTTACTGTGGCGTGTGAGATGGTCAGAATCCCATTCTTGACAGCACACTTCCTTCTCTGCCACACTTTTCGGATCCTGAAAACCAAGGCAAACACAAGCTGATGCGGCATCTGGCTCGCTCTGGGACATGCAGTTCCACAGCGGTATGTGGAATAATCGCGACAAAACAAAACGACCCCCAACCAAAAAAGTCACACACACCAGAACATGCGGTTGCCTTTTATTATCCCAGGTGGAAGGTAAGTCAGACTAGTAGGCATGTACAGGGGTGCTCATGATAGCACTGTTTTTGATAGTGAAAATGGGAAACGAGAGAAACAGCAGAAATCTAAGAGCAGAATGAACAAACGCATTAGCCATGTTCGTGCTACAGAGTAAATATCCACCGAGTCCTCCCCAGCTACCCCCTACGGCAGCAAGAAGCACCCCACACGCCCTGCATCCCCGGCCTTGCTTTACCTTTTCCCACAAACTTGCTACCATCTACCTCTACACATTTCCCGCTTTACTGTCTGGCTCTCTCCTCAGAAAGTAAGTTATAAATGGGTGGGACTTTCTTTTGTCAGCGTCGTTCCCAGGACTGACCACAGCGCCTGACGCACAGCATGGCTCCCATAAGGTATTTGCTGAATGCACGAGTAGAATGATGAGTACAACTGACAGCGACCCCAGAAATTTATGGGAGAAATAGTGGCAATTTTCACAAACAAACTAAAACGAAACAAAAAATGTATGCCCCTCGGATGGGTGTAAGGAGCACATACCCACGAGCAATCAGAAAACAGAAGCTTTCTTTTAAAAAAGGATGAGAATTAGTCAAGTGAGTAATCACAATTCTACTAATGCACTTATTACGAAGCAGGATCATTCGTTCAAGCAACAGAAAGGTGGCCAGTGTGGCAGGACCAGGGGACAAATGGCACAGGATGAGGCTGCAGAGAAAGGCGGGGGGAGAGCCCGCATGCGAGGGGTGTCGCTGAACGTTTCAGGTGTGCGAGTGACCTGGTGTGCTTTCCGTTTTTTAAAAGGCTACTCCGAGTGCTGTGCAGAGATGAACTGGACAAGGGGAAGCGTGTCACAGAGACCACTTCGGCTACTGAAATAGTCCGGCGGAGATGGCAGAGGCTCATCCCAAGGCAGGGCAGAGAGATGGCAGGAAATGTATTATTTCTTATTAGAAATAGAAGGGGCTGTTCTATTGGCTGTGATGGAGGAAGAAAGAGGAGTCAAGGTCAACTTCCAAGGTTGGGGTCTGGGTGGCCAGGCGGGCCCCCCAGGGAGAGAAAGCTACAACAAATACAAGCAGAGAGGTGGGAGAGCATGAAGTCAGTGAGCCATCTGCTTGCTTCATGTTCCACTGAGTTCCTGCCTTTCTAAAATTGCATGTCACAAGTCACAGGTGTCACTTAGGGACCATGACACAATTACCACTTCTTCTAAAGTCAGTAGGTCAAATCTCAGACTTACCCGAGGAAAATCAGTGTGCAAAGGTCTGAAGTTAGTGCATTGGGAAACGTGTCAGTGTGTTTCCGGTCTGAGGGGCAGGAAGAAGTTCCCAGGTTACTAGCCCCCAGGCTGGGCGCCAGGCGCACACAGGGACTTTGGACGGGCTTGTACGTACCCATCGCTTTTCTTCAGCAGGTACCCCTTCTTCTCGCTGCCATACTCCTTGTTGCCCTGGAGCTGGTGCATGCTGTACCCCCCTTGCCGGCTCTGGGAATCCTAGAAAAGCGAAACCACGGATCAGACAGGTGCTGGAGACAGTTCTCAAGTCCTTGACTCTGTTCTGCCACTGAGCCTTTGCCCATTGGTTTGGGGCTCAGAGAATGATGGGACTTTGAGAGCTGTCAGGTCCTCGCCTTTATTTCGGAGGAGAAAGCTGGGCAGAGAAGCAGTCGCCAGAGGTACGAGCAGATCTGAGGCAGAGCTGGGGCCCGGGGTCCAGGCCTCGTACCCCTAGTTCAGAACCCAGTTCTACTTCAAGACCACTCTATGACTAAACCAGTTTACACGGGCAGCAGAAGCAAGCACAGGAAGGGCTGGGAAAACGAAGTGGACCACGAAACAAGCTCATGCAACCTGAACGTGCCTGTCTCTCAAGTGCACCTCCCTCCCTTCACACATTCTGCGAGTGCCCGCGACGAAAAGTGCATCTCTAAGCGAGGTGTGAAGAGCTCTTACAAGATTCTAGTTTTGTAACTAACCGGCCCTCTGTAAAATATACCTGTAACCATGCTTTTAATTTAAAAGATGACTCTATTGCGGTGAAAAGGGTATCATGTAATGGAAAGGGTGACAAGGGTCAACAGAGCAAGACGGATGCAAACAAGCGGGGTTTCACATTTGCACCCCACTGGCACGTCACCGCTGCTTGTAAAGACTGAGCCACTAGACACAGCTGTTACCGTGAACACGTAAAAAACAAACTTTAGTAATGCTGACTGTGCAAGGATGGAAGGAGGACAGTACATTCTCACGAAAGGTGTTGACTTACTCTCCTAGACTTCGATCAGGAAGGGCAAAAGCGACAGAGAAAAAAGGCAGAACATTTGAAAACAGAGTTAATTTCATTGACGGTCTCATTGTTCATAATTTAAGCATTTTTTTATAACACAGAGAAAACATCATTGTAGAGATATTTAACACCAGGACACACACACACGCACGCGCGCGCCTCTACTATCATGATAAACTTTTGGACAATAAAATATCTTTATATTTACCCAGTTTTATTTCAGGTCATTTGAGTGAGAACAGAAAAAGGCTAAGTGGGAGGACATGAGGTTCATAGCTCCCCAAGATAAAATGGTTGACACATCTCCAGTGTGCGCACCGGGAACCAACACTCCGGGGAAATCCAAAGTGAATTACTTAGAAAATCTAAGAAGAGCCACAACGTTTAGGAAGATTTTTTTTGGTTTCATTTTTCCAAGTGAAGGGAACTTAATAAAAATATCCAGTTCTTAAACAACACTTGAAACGTGATGGTGATGATGCAGGAAGCTGAATCGGCCACTGATTACTTACTGATGGCTGGTGAACAGCACGCAGTCAGGACGGCCTCGTTCTGGCCTGCAGGTAGGACGATGCCCCTTTGTGAGGCTGTTCTACACGTGATGGGTTCTGTGCTCAAAAGGCACGTCCTGAACACTTACCAGCCAGGTCCCATGAAGGTGCCGAGGATGGCAGTGAAACGAAACCCCCGTCTCTGAGGTGGATGCTCACCCTCTGACCACACACTGCCTGCTCCCTCGTGTAGGCGAGGGAGAGCTGACTGTACACTTGACAGGCAAGTCGACTCATACTAAAGAGGCTACAAGCTCTCGTCACTCTCTTGCCCTGAGTCATTTCCGTCTTTAACCGGCCAGGTTTCCTCCAGCTGAAACAAATCAGGGCCCACAGCCTTGACCTCCACAGTACGTTGGCTCACTCTGTCTCCCCGATACATGCTTTCATGTTTTCTGGATGATGGGGGGTACTGATCTCTACATATCAGATAGGCAAACAGCCACCTTCTTCTACCAGTGCCTCTGGTGAGAGTCCACCATAAAACAGTAGTGACATAACATGGTTTTTTTGAAAGAGGCAGCAATGTGCCCATAACACTAATAAAGAACAATATGGACGAAAAATTAGATCGGGCGGCAGAGAATTGAGGCATGGGACAAAAGGAGAGGTGGCATAAATCCACGGGGCTGCCTGCTCTAACTCAACGAACCGCATGACAATTACTCGGCTACGGATTTGGACCCAGGCATCTCTGCCATGTGTATACCCTCCCCCCGCCCCCCAAAACATTAACGACAAAATCCAAAATCTTCCTGGATATCAATTCTTATTCAAAGACTAATTCTCTCCCTGGGAAACCTTTTCATCAAACTAAACTTCTCTTCATCTGCCCTCGTAATTCCTAGTCTGTCTGAATGCTTTAAAATCATGCTTCTCTATCTTTAATCCATTTGCTAACCTTTAAAATAAAAGCCTACATCCTAAAAATATAAGTAGATATATTTTTTTAACCAGAATTTGGAAGTTGATAACTTATGAAAACTATTAGGTTCTGTAAACTTATCATTAAGACATTCCTTACATATATTTATTACTATATAACAAACTTCTGCATAACAGATTGCATGGGCCTTGCTTTACATCAGGCAAATATGCTTTTATTTTATTTATTTGTTTTTTTATTGATTATCATTATTTTTATGGTGATATTGGTTAACAAAATCCATTAAGTTTCAGGTGCACAATTCAATAGTAAGGCATATACATACTGCATGTGTGTTCACCTCCCACAGTTAGATTCCTTCTGTCACCACATATTTGACCCCTTTTACCCCGTCTACCTCCCTCCTCCCCTCTGGTACAAATATGCTTTTAAAGGTGGCTGAACTCTAGGCGTTGACCCCAGAAGCCTATACCATTAAACTGAGTAGAAGTCTAGCACCAACAACCCTAAATTAATTACTAATGAATTTTACGGCTTAAGAAAGTCATACAAATTATTATCTCTGCCCTTTGAGAAATGATGGTCATTCAGCTTGCTTTGCAGGGCACTCCAGATAAATGAAAAAAGATTTTCAAGAAAGTAAATCTTGGAGAATTGTTAACAGTAATAATAATTAAAAACAATAACAACAACAAAAAAACAAAATAAAAATTGAAGGAATGAAATAGGTCCTGGATCCTTTGAGACCATAATAAAAATCAACATGTATTCAGGAAAGGAATGCTAATAAAAAACTCATTCGGGCAAAAAATAGAAAACTAAACTTAAACAATGAGCTTAAAACCCTGGGGAAATTGATGTGAGCCAAGAAATGTAAGCTATAGAAGGAAATTATGGTATTACTTTTTAGTTCAATATCCTATTCTTTATTAGCAGCACAAATTAGCTGACTTCCTTATTAGAAAACCTTATTAACATATAAAACACATTATTAAAGAGTAAAATCTCAAATCTTTTTAAACTGCAAGCGATTACACACTCATTGGTTTAATGGGGTTGTAAATGTTTCTGGCATCCAATCTAAATACTAAACCTCTATTAGAGAAGCTTCCAGTCTCTAATGTCAGGTATGAATGGAGCAGGCAAAGGGGTCCTCTGTTTCATCTTACTAAATATTTACTGAGTACTTTTGGGTGTCTGGCAATGTGCCAGACTGACATGAGCAAAATGCAGAATCTGTCATCTTGCAAACCATATCACGATGGGCTATTAAAAGAGACTCAAACAAAAAGCTCTAATTTTTGGAATGATTTACAGATATCGTCAATTAAAAATATTTTCAACCCTAAAAATATTTATGTAACAAACGGTTCTTTCGGGAGCTTAGGTGATTATAAAAGCTTAAGATAGTTAATTTCATCCACCATCTGCCAAAAGTCAATAAAGAATTTTATCTGGAGAAGAAAAAATGAATTTACAAAAAATCTGGGGATCCTATTTATAGCTCAAATTCTTGGAGCTTCTTCCAATGGAGTCAAGTTAGAACCCGGTGGGGGTGAAGCTGTTAAATAATTTGTCGGGTGCCTTCATTTCTCAGGTCATATTTTCAGACAAGTTTACACTCTTCTGGAATAGTCACACTGTGGCGGGAACCCCCCCAGCGGATCGTCTCCTTTCATGTTTACTTGATGTCATTAAAAATCATTACGTTTTCAACATATCTTGCAATGAGAGGTGATAAACAGCATGAGAATGGGGATAGGCATGCTGCGGAGATCAATTTTATTTGTAAAATACTCCGGACAAGGTGCTAATGGAAGCTCATCATTTATTAATTTGGGACGAAGTTAAAAATAAATCAAATCACGAGCGTTTCCTCATGTACACACTCCTTTGGCTTACATGCAGAATACATTGGTCTCTATGCAAAGTGAAAGGGGACTGCAATGGTCCCTTTTTTTTTTCTAAGAAAGCTTCCACATACAGGAAGGAGGGAAGCCTGTGTGTGACAAAGCAAAGGCAGGAAGTGGTTGAGGGCACCCCAGTCAGTACACAAAACCCTGCCAACTTCTCCCCAGACAGAGAGAGGTCTACCTCCTACCTCCCTCGATGTGGGTCTTTCTATTGCTTGCATATTGAGAAATCATTCGAGGGACCACTTCTCTTAGGACTTGTATGCCAGCGAAAGGTACCCTCAGGGAGCCCTCAGAGCCTGGTGCAGACACGGCTGAGGCTCTGGATGACACGGGTACAGAGTACACACATTGTCCAGGCCATGGATGCCTCTGTCCACGGGTTAACAGGGGCCCAGTGTTAAAGGGCTACTGATTTCTCTCGCCTTACAAAACCCAATGTGTGTGTGTGTGTGTGTATATGTGTGTGTGTCTGTGTGTGTGTGTGTGTGTGTGTGTGTGTGTATATAAAAACTGGAAGCAGAGGAGAGGGCTTGTCACTGGGTAAGAGAACCTTCGGGTCGCTATAAAGGACCAACATGTATTCAGGAAATACAAGGCTGCCCACATTTGAAGGGGCTTGCTTTGTTTTGACTCATCCACCCTTTTCACAAATTTTAGGAATCTATAAATAGTTTGCCATGTGAGACAACATCATGAGCAACCGACAACAAAAAAAATGTTGTATTTCAGGTGATTATTGTTAAATATTGCATTTAGAGGCTGCACTTAAATTCAATGCAAACTAATTTCGTAATATAAACAGGAACATTTTCCCCTTCTCCCATGTAACGAATGATGCTCACTCTTTACTACACCCTTTTAGCATACAGTCCATACCCTTCCGTGTGCATCCACAGTCCTCCGTAATCAGGCCTGAGTTCTTAGCCCAGGAACCCATCTCGCTCCTCTACCCACCTGGCCCCAAACTGCAGCCCACTGGAGATGCCAGGCTGAGTCTTTTCGGTGTCCTCTCTCTGCTGGCACGTCACCGCCCAGTATATCTCCTATAGCATCAATACTTTGGGTGTGACTGCTTGTTCACACGGCCGACTCTACTTTCTACTAGACAAGGAGCTCCCTGATGAAAGAGACCAAAGCTTGGAGCCTAGATGAATTGCTGGCACAGAGCAGGTATTAATCAAATGTCTGACCAACAAATGAACAAATGAGATTTTATAATTAAGAATCTGTACTGCATTCATCTCACATCTACCATACACTATATACTCCATTTCAACATCCAAGGACTATCTCGCCTTAATTTTCCTAACTGGGTGGGGAAAACTTCTACGGGATTCTGCATCGGACTATTTCTCTATTTCCCTGGCAAAATGAGAAAGGCCCCATTTAGCTGCCCAGAAAGACAGAGATAATTTAAAGAGGACAGGGGAGTGCGTGTCACTACCGGAGAGGATGCACACCGGAAGCACGTCTTCAAAGCCAGGATGCGAAGTCTGGATTCGTGGAACTGCAGAGTGGGGCTAAAGGACACCTGTCTTCTAAGGAGGGAAAGGGGACTAAAGCAGCTTCTGCCCTGGGCCACGTGGCAGGTACACACTTGCATCCTTTTCTCCTCTGTCCCCACAACCACCCTGGCAGGACCTGGGTGTCAGCGGGCCTGTTTGGCAGGTCAGGAAACGTAAGGGCCACAGCGGCCTCGCTCACACCATGAGCCCTGCGAGAAACACTCAGAGCACCTACTTCTTTCTGATCCAGCTGAAGAGAGGATTTTATTAAGTCTCGGAGTGCGGTTAGCTGTTTCTTTTCCTCGTCCTGGGTCTGTTTTATCTACGAGAGAAAAAAATTACTTCTGTCACTTATCTTTTACACATTTACAAGCAGAGTTTAATTCATCCAAATATAAGACTCATCCAACAATTCAATGATATATTTGATTTACTTAATAAAGTCCTTCGCATGGTCTCATTTTTAATACGAGGCACGATTTTCTCATCTTATAAAAGTACTAGTGAGTTTTGAAATTAGTAATAATACAATTTGCTTCCTTATTAGATAATACATCTAGGCGAGACGATTCGCTCTCAAGTACTATTTTAATTAAAGTTAAGAAATAACACTGAGTCATGTGCTTGAGGGTCTCTGAAGGGTGGTCATGGGAATACCATGATGGGATTAAATGGGCCAGAAGAGAACCCTAAGAAGGACCAGGACCCAATGGGCTCACGCATACATGAGGGTTTGCAAAGTCCTCTATGAACACAAGGACTGGAGCTGCTTTTTTTAATCGTTTGGAACTTAACAGCAACCTGAACTATGTTAACTATTAAAAGAAAATCAGCAAAAATACGTAGCTATGTATTTTTAAAGTTATGTAAGAAAATATCTGTAATTCCAAAACCTTATTTGACCATATGTACTTGCATTGATAAAGCCTACACTTTTAGTACGATTCAGTGCCAAGTGGTTTATGAAAGTCAAGGTTGACATTTACACATATGCATTTAATTTTCTTCCTCAAAAAGTTTCCCTTTTGATTTTGTTATCAGAAGAGCAAAACCTAGATATTAGAAAAAATATTGTGCGAGAGAAAATGTAAAACAAGCCCCTCCCCTCCCGCAAATGATAAGCCTGCCTACTCAGAGACAGTCACTTAATTTATATCCTTCCACGATCAAACACTCTTTATGCGATCGCTGACCATGGCATCCGTGATGTTAGTGAACCCTAAAGAGAGAGCCATCTAGAAGCAACAATTACATGCTCCCCACCTGCTCCGTCCTATGCTCCCAAAAAACATACATTCTGGAAGATTCGACCACTGGTGACTTCTCTGAGTTAGACTGAAGCTTTACCGGCCCTATGTTTATACTGACACATCACTCAACTTGCCTTTTCTTCTAATACTCTTCTAATACAGATTTCAAATGTACTGATATTTATCTACAAAAACAAGTCAAAATGCATGCATATATTTTACAAGGAACTTACATTATATAAATCAGCAGCCAGTTTTTCAATGTACTGTTTCAATTTATCCGCTGTTTTCAAGCCATCTTGAAAGAAACTACAAGGAAACATCATCAGAGGTTCACCAGCAGTATAAAAAAAAAAAAAAAGAACGACAATTACATGAAAAACCCGAAAACACTTATGTATTTACTCTGTACCCGAATAGCCACACAAAATACTTAGAAAACATATTCTGGTATTTTATGAAGATGTGCCCGCACACACATTATGACTCGCACAGACACGGTCCTGCACAGTGCCCATGTGTTTGTTGGTAAACACAGAGCAATTCCTCCTGGTTGCGCCACATTTAAATCCCAAAAGAGAGAGAGACCCATTAACCAGTGGGGCATCATGAAGTCGAAATGGACACTCGAAGGAGAGAAGGGACGGAACTGGAAACAGAGGCTGGAGGAAAGGCGGCACTCTTAGCTCCCCTAAGATCCCCGTGATCCAACACATACGTGAAACAGGGGACGTTGAGTGGATGGCGCCGAAGCACCCGGAGAGCCACGCGTATGAGCAGGTCGCCTTCTCCCACCCTGAGAGTAATGAGCACTGACGTCTGCTGAGCGTTTGTCACATGCCTGGCACGCTGGGCACGTTCCATGTGTTATTTCCCTTACACCTCCCAACAGCCCTAACGAGTTAACAAGCACTGCAATCGCATCTCCGTTTTAAAGGGTAAACCGAGGCACAGAGTGAGTACGTAGCTCGCTCAAGTTGCCTAGAGCTGGGTTCAGGCCCAGGCTGGTTCTGACGGCCCTGCTCTTCATCTCTGAGCGAAGATTTCTTGTCTGAATGCTTCCACTCAGGAGCCTTTTTATTCTGGTACCTGGAACATTCTCTACCCTGTTGGAAGCCGACTCCACAGATTATTTCTCAACACACTTTCTGCGTTGCTGCAAAGGACCACAAAAGGATCAGGTTGATGAGGACAGGGCTGTTTCTCACCTCCACAGCCCAGCGGGCCCAGCACCAAGCACATACTTAACCAGTAAGTGGCTAAGAATAAAGCACATCTAAGAATTTTTAGGGCACATCTGGGGATCCATGTATATTTATTTTTAGCTTAATATGTACATTCAATGGAAACAATACATCCTTATCAGAACTGGCCTTCAGTGTGACTAACGAAGCCCTACAAGTTCCAATATTCTTAAGGAAGAGAAATACTGTCTTTAGAAAGTCTTTCGGCAACAGGAATGGGAGAAAATAGGGCTTTCTGGCTAACCACTTACTGGAAAGCTGCATTTAAACTTCAGGTTTTCATTACTGCCTATGGGGATGAAAGTTAAACTCCTTGGTACAGAACTGAATAGCATTTACGTCCTGGTCCCTGGATGTCTTCCTGGTTTTACCTCCCACCATTTTCTCGGGGCTCCAGCCATGCTACTGTATTTTTAGTTACTGCCCCAGCCTTTGCACAAGCTGCTCCCTCCACCTTACTGCCCTTCCCCGCTCTACTCGTATGTCAAGCTCTCTCATTCTCTTATAGCTCAGCTCAGGAGCCACCTCCCCAAGCAGCTTTCCCTAGAGATGCTGCATCTCTGAGCACTTGCTTGTGTCCAGGCCTCAGTGTCGGCCTTAGAGGGGCTATTGAGGCTCTGCATGGGGCAGGCCATCTGTCCATAAGCACGACCCCAAACTAGCATCTCCTCCAGCAGGGAAGTGTGGCTGCAAAGTTAATCAGAGCAAAACCGATTCTGTTCTCTGATACTACATTTAAGTAATTTCTGGAGAAAGGTTTTGAACGTTAAATGGATGCTGTCAGGACTTCTTAGGACAGAAAAAGCAAAGGCTTTGGGGTCAGAGGACGAAGGCCTAGAATCTGTGCTCTAGGATTTAGTAGCTATGGGACCTGGGCAAGTCACCTGACTCCTACTCATGTTATCTGTATGAAACGGGGTCAGAAACGTGGCTCACACACACAGAGCCACTCAGCAAAGTGCCGGGCAGTTACGACGTGCCTGGTAAGTGCTGGTTTTCGTCCCTAGGGCTGCACAGGTCTATCATATAAGGATTCGCTTCCTCCCCAGAGGGATATAGATTCTTTTAAGATATTTTTGTAAACGTGTTTCGCTTTCACTTTCAACGTAAAGGGAATTTGATCGTTATGTTAAGAAAGATGGATTTCAGTGAGAATGCTCTAGATTTGTTTTCTGATACAGTGCTTGCTGCTAGTCCCACGCAACTAATTTAATTAAAATTAAAGAAATTTAAAGTTCAGTTCATGAAGCTTCAGTAGCCACACTTCAAGTGACATGTGGCTACTGGCTACCACGTTAGATAGCAAAGAATATCAACGTTTCCATCACTGCAGAAAGTTCTATTGGATAAGAATAAGTGAACATATTTGAACAGCACGCAAATGTTATAAAACATAAACTGAAACAAAAAAGGGCACAGTTTTAGTTTAAGATGGCACTGATAAAAGTGAAAAGTTATTTATCAGCAGTGAAAGGAAGCTGGAAGGGGGTTGGGGGGGGGAGGCAAATTCCTGAAGACCCAAATGCATCTTCTGGCCTGCAGTTAAATTCTTCCAAACACGACAAACACAGACTAAGGAAAACCAGCGTGATGTAGAATCATTTTAATTTAAAGTATGATCCAATTTTTTTTTGTAAACAAAACGAATCATATGCACAAATCCGGTCATCTTCTGAGTGAGAGATTATAGGGTTTTTTTTTTTTTTCCCATTATACTTCATTCTCTAAACATTTTCTAAAAGAGATCACACACTACTCAGGCAAAACAAAATTAAAGAATCGACATTTAGCTTGGAAGGACAAGGCTGAGCTGAGCCTGTCTCAGAAAGTTATTTTAAGGCCAACTTCTAGTTTTGGGTGAGAAAAAGGAGTAGGGAGAACAAAACAGTCCTGACCATCCCTAGAAATAACCATAAAAAGCAAAGGCCAACCTGCTGTCACCTGCACTGTCCCTCCAGTGACCCCCCTCTGTGCTTGCCTGTCCCCTCCTTTGAGCAGCTCGGTCTCAGCTTCGGGCCGGGGGGCCTCAGAGCCGCAGCGCCGCGCACAGCACCCGCCAGCACACTGCACTGAGGGCCGAGGGCGCTCCAGTTCCGTTTCCTCCCTCTGGCTCTGGGGCAGTGGAGATGCACGGGCGCGGGAGGGAAAAGCATATCACGTTTTGGCTCGAAAAGCTCGCTGTACAACATCACCTCGAGCACGTTCACCTCCAAGGGTGGACGTTTCCTCGCCGCGGGGGGGTTGGGGGGGGGCAGATGTGCTACTACAGGTGCGAGCATTCTTCTAATCGGAAAGCGAAGCACAAGTGTCAGTTCTGACGTCCCCCCTCTCAGTTTGAACCCGTTCGCCTTCCCAGTAGAAGGGAAATTACTTCTGCAACATCCCGCTGGTCCCTGAGCCACTTGCTCTGTAAAGTTCTGAAATATAATGAGATCTTTGGAAAACAGATGATGGGGATTAACAGTAGTAATAATAATAATGATAATAATAATAGCAGCTAGCATGTAATTGGGTATTTACTCTGTGCCAGTTACAATGATAAGAGATTCATGGAATGCCCCTTTTTAAAGGTCTCATGACAATCCAGCAAAACAGGTCATTAATAACATCAACCTGTCAGACAGGTAAGGAAACTGAGGCCCAGGGAGGCCAAGTGTCTTGACCAGGGTTGTTTAGTCACTAAGTGCAGAGTTGAGATTTGAGTCTAAGATTTCCTATTTCTGGAGTGCGGATAATTAATCAAAAAGTCAGGCTGATCCAAACCCTGGCCCTCCCACTGAGGAACGGCCTAACCGTGGTGCCCTTGCCCAGGAGATGGGGATCACCGCACAGAGCTCGGAGAATTCTAGCGAGCCCTGGAGCACGGCTCTGAAGATCTCAGGCACAATACACGATGGCCACAGGCCAGCGAAACGGGTTTCACTGGTTCTCTGACCTTAGGGACACAGCAGGACTGGCTTCACTTTTTAAATAAGCAGCTTGAAAGAAATATGACCATATTTTCTTTTTAGTAATGTACCATGTTGTATGACCGTCACTACTAATCCCGGTATTACTAGGTGGTCTCCCATTGACCATATTTTAACGACATCAGGTGCCACAAAAATGTAAGTTGCTGACTGATGGGCAGAAAGAGCCTCACACTTACACAGACAGGCTGGAACACACAGCTGCAGAGTGCAAGCTTGTGAGGGCTCAACACGGCCACCCGCCCATCAGGCAGGACGAACTACATCCTTAGGACGAACCACAGGCCTCTCTACCCCGAGAGAGTTGCTATGGGTTTCTTTCCTAAGTCACTCTGTCCAAACAATGACGGGGAAGGAAAACACTATGTTCTTTCTGCTTATAATTTATTTATTTAATTAATTTATTTTTTATTTATTTATTTTTTTAGGTGAGGCAACCCTTGGTTGACCTCACAGATTGCAAGGACCTCGTCAGCTTACAATCCCTTATTTTTTATTTTTCACGCCTATAGCACCTGGTCTTCCTAGGTGGTCTCCCACCAAAGTACTAACCAGGCCCGACCCTGCTTAGCTTCTGAGATCAGACGGGGTCGGGCTTGTTCAGGGTGCCATGGCCGAAGACTTCTGCTTATAATTTAAAAGAAAGGGCGACAAGAGTCTCCCTGAGACCCCTTATCACGTATTCTGCTTGGCTTAGATAGAGGTGTTATTTGGCCAAAGGCTGAAAGGCTCAGGAGGCACAACATTATTTTCAAAAGAAGTTAAGATATTCTGGAGTACCACAGAGAATATGGCTCTAAAAAACAAAAGCAAATCAAAAAAAGAAAGTGACCTCTTAACAAATGAAGCATCAACGCCGTCTGAAAGCCGGATTGCCAAGCTTCTGGCATAGTCTGACTTCTGACTAAGTCACGCAAGATTCCCAGCTCTCTAGGTAGCGGGGTTACAGTTTCTCCCATGAACATCCCGTGTGTGTCCGGTGGCACTTAAGAAACTTGATTGTGCAGGGGTCAGCGTTGGTGCTAGTTAACTGCAGATCCATCTGGACAGTTCAGATTAAAAAAATAGTAGAGCGTGGTATACAGACCCACGCCTAGAAATCCTTAAAAACGCACATGTCCAGGTCCAAGCCCGGGCTTCTTACCAAATCAAAATTTCTGACGTAGTAAACACATGTTCTTTGGAGTTGGAGGGACCTGGGTTCAAGGTCTGGTCTATCACCTTCTAACTAGAAGGTGTATTAGGGCATGGATTTTTGATTACGTTTTGTTGTTTTTTTCACATTTTTAAAAATTGAGATAAAATTCCTGTACCGTTTTAAAGTACAATTCAGTCGTTTTTAGTAATCTACCATGTTGTATGACCGTCACTACTAATTCCAGAACATTTCCATCGCACCCAACAGAAACCCCGGGCCTGTTAGCGGTGCCTCCTAATTCCTCCCTTCCCCCAACCCCACATAAACAATCTGCTTTCCGTCTCAGCGGGCACTGCATTTAATGGGATCATACAGTATGTGGTCTTTTGTGTCTGGCTTCTTGGAATATTATTTTCAACGTCCACTCACGTTGTAGCATTTATCAATATCCGGCCCTTTTTAGTGGTTGAATAATATTCTCCATTGTATGGTTACACCACATTTTGCTTATTTGTTCATGATCTGATGGATGTTCAGGCGTTTCCACAGTTCAGCTACCGTGAGTCACGCTGCTTGGGGCATTCATGAAGACATTTTTGTTGAAATATCTGTTTTCAGGTATCTTGGGTTTACACCTAGGAGTAGAATTGCTAGGTCACATAACTCTATATTTAAGTTTTTGAGGAAATGCCAGTTTTCCAAAGCAGTTGCACTAATTCCCGTTTCTATCGGCCATGTACGTTGAGGGTTCCAGCCTTTCCAGGTTCTCACCAAGTCTCTTCCGCCGTGGTGGCGTTTTCACCTGCGGCCATCCTAGCGGACGTGAGGTGGCCACCACACTGTGCTTCTGAGCTGTGTCGCCCCGACGACTAATGATGCTGAGCATTTTGGTTCGTGTGCTTTTTGGCCAACTGTATATCTCTTTTTGGAGAAATGGCTATTCCAATTCTTTGCCCATTTTAAAACTGGGTTGTTTACATTTCTGTTGTTGAGTTTTAAGAATAATTTATATATTCTGCGCACCAGATCCCTATCAGACAAATGATTTCCACATATTTTCTCCCATTTTGTGGGTTGTTTTTCCGCTTTCTTAAATAGTATCCTTTTACTCACAAAAGCTTTCAAGTCCAATTTATCCATTTCTCTCCCTTCGGTTCCTTGTGCTTTGTCTGTTTTGACACACGCTCACTGCACATCTATTAAATGAATGAATGCGACTCTGGGCGAGCTGCTCATCCTTCCTTGAGCTACAATTTCCTGATTGCTCTTGATAAACGTTAACTATTACCTATAAAACGAAGGATAATGAAGTAATGCTTGCAAGGGCTCTTTATCCTGCAGATCATGATGATACCTGCGAGGCGGTAAAGGAGTGGGTGAGTGCTAGGAAAACATGTTTGTTTTGAAAGCGGCATGTTACCGACGACGATTCATTTGGAAGTGAAGTGTGGGTGAGCTGAAACGGGTAACAAAGAGCCAACAGCTCTTCTCTTCCGCTTGCTCCTTCGCTTCCCCACTCTGGCAGCTGCGTCCCCACAGAGGTGCGGTGACTACGCGAGGTACCCCCGGAGCAAATTCGCTCTTGAGCACCACCGGACTTTGTGTCAAAAATCATTTTGAGTACTTAGAATACGAAACTCTCTTTTTAAAACAATCTAAGTAGAGGATGCTTTACAGGCCTGCTGTACGTCTACCAAGCGTGTGGAGGACTTGGCTGAAGCAGGAAGGAATGAACAGCAGTCTTTGAAATAAAACGACGCTGGCTTCTTGCTATGACGGGGATCTCGAGGTTCCACCGGGAGGCGGCCAGGACTGAATCCCGTCCTAACCCAGTTCTGGATGTCTCTGAATACCTGTCCCCACAGGAGACGTTTGCTGGGCAGAGTTTCCTTCTGCTGCTCTCTCCCTGCCCTGGGGACAGACCCTTCCACTGGATTCAATGGCCGAATGCTAGCCATCCTCCAAGTCCAATCCCAAGTGCTACCATCTCTCCCAAGGAGCCCTCCTTAGTCTCTCTGGCCAGAAGTCTCTCCTCTTAATGTCCCTTGTTATCAGTCGCTTCCTAGTTCCATTATGATTACGGATGAGCCAAACTTACTTTCTGGACTACATAATTCACTCCTGAGGGTAGAAGCCTCGTTTCATCTTTACCCCAGAACCTGGCAAAGTACCTGACTTTTGTTAAGAGATTAATAAATATTCGTGGAAATGGAAAAAGCCAAGAATAAAAGGAAGATGCATCAGCTATATAGGTCGAGTTGTTCTTTTTATTCATCTTTACTAACGGAGGCTCACGTATGTATAGTTTACAAAACAGCTTACGTTTTGGAAAACTCACGTTTGTGTACGTTAACTCCCGCTCTATTCTTAGAGAATTTAAGATCAAAAGAGATTTCTCACATCAAGTGAAAGCAGATTTGCTGTCAGAGTGTTGTAACTAAGATGACTGAGAGACTCACTTATTTCTGTAAGTTTCAAAGCAACGATATGTCTAGGAAAACTAAAATTGACAAAAGATAAAAAACTTCACCTATGACTAAAATCAGGGCCCACCACAACACATTTCAAAGTTTCACACCCACCCCACTAATCTGCAAAACCAAGAGTTAGTCCAGGTCTTCAGTGTGAGGCTTCCAAAGGCAAAATTATCTTACAAACGTGAAACTGTCTGCACTGCAATATATTATTTTTATATCTGGAACACATTTACACAAGACAGAATTTACTTTGAAAGAGGAAAAAAGTTAAATCGAATTTGTATAAATAACAATTTGATGATTACAAAGCTTTATCCAAAGAGAAAACACCTTGCACAATAAAGTGCATGGATGGATGGTTTTTAACGCCACCTGGAACCTCACGGCAGTGAACACAGTCAACGTGGCAGGACTGGGCTGAGCGCTCCATACCCATCATCTCACTTAAGTCTCAGTGAACCTTAACCCCACCTGACAGCTGAGGAAATTGAGGTTTAGAGAAGAGCCTGATAAAGTTCCTGGAGAGCCAGGATTGGAACTCATCTATGTGTCTGACTCAGGCCTTGTGCATTTCCCATAAAAACTACCAGAAAACCCACAAAACCTAACCCGATGTGTAAATAAGAAGTGAACAAGCAAATAGGGTGCCATCAAATCTCAAACATAAAACAGTAACCCTGCAATGTGAACATTTTACAAAAATGGGACCGGTATAGAACGGATTTCTCTCAGAATGTACCAGCAATCCCAAAGGAATCCAAGTATAAATGCAGAATACTCTTAATGCCGAAATTATTCAATTCCACTTACTTTAGATGATGAAGAAACAAAATCTCAAGTAGGAACATGTGGTGCGAAGGACCCAATAACAGGTAAGATACCAAGTAAGGGGTTGAGGGGGGCAGGTCACCAGGAAGGCCTCTTCAGTGACAGAGAGGCAAGTATCTGTAACAACCGCCCCACAGGCTATCAAGGTCAACGTCAGCATTTGTAAGCGAGACAGCCGTTTTCAGGTAGCCAAATAGTTTGCACAAATTTGAGTTACTGATTTATAGGAAAACAGTGAAGACGGGAGACAATACCATTTCTTATCATTTGGCTGTGGAAGCTCATTATATCACTACACATAGTGACCGAAGAAAGACCGGAAGAAAAGAAGGAAGCGAGGAGACCAGCGAAGCGAAGGGGCCTTCCCGGGCTGAGCACGGGTCCACTCACTTGCACTGTGCGTGGTAGTACTTTATAAGGTTCTGCAGCAGGTCCACTCCCTTCTTGGTCTTGATTTCGTTCACTTTAATGAGATACTGTGGAAAGAAAACAGAATTGCATAATGATCATTACGGACGGGGTTCTTCAGTCACGGTTTGGGGTCACAGAATACCAGTCGTGAACCTGCACAAGTGTGAGTTTAATTTAGGGAACGGTGATCGGGCACAGTCACAAGTGTACAGAACAAACTCGTTAGCGTGTTAGCATTTTATAAATGCTTAAGATTAGTTTACTGGGCAAGCAGAAGTCAAACACAGCAAAACATTCTGGAATAATCGAGTATTTCTCCCGGTGCAGTGGATCTCAAACTTACAGTTCACATGGTCAAAACCTGAAAGACAGATTGTTCTTTGCAGAAAACAAGTAAAACGGTACTTCTCTTCAAGGCATAGGCCAGAAGAGATTAAAACTTTCAGGCCAAGGAGGTGTATTAGAAAGAATATTTGCTATTAAAAAAAATGAAAGAATAAAACCACACATTATTAGTTTATGCGCTACCACTACTGGCTCCGATTTTCACGACTGGCCAAGATTTTCTGTTCATAGTGCTTGCCTCTTGTTCGCTTGTTTTATTTTGTGCAAGTGTCCATGAGCAGACAAGTTCAAGAAGGAGCCAAAAGTTTATCAGGGGAAGAAAAAAGAAAGAAACTTAAGAAAAACTTAAAATTGAGAAAATTCTATCCGTTTTAATGTTTTCTGAAAGCTGCCAAAGGAAACCCATCCACGTCAACTTCAGAACTAGCTGCCTCCAGGTCAAGGGGTGCCAGCGTTCAGTGGAACACAGTTTGAGAACCAGTGCTCCACATGGAAGGGGGCATGCTTTTCACTGCATTTTTTTTTCCCACGAACTCACAGACCTTCTCAACGACTACTTCATTTAAGCTTTCATCCAAACCGGACACATGGTTAAAAAAAAAAAACATGCTCTAAACCTGTCCCAATAAAACTTAATAGTCACCAGTGTTATGCCTCACCAAATTTTTTTTTTTTTTTTCCACACTCACTCACAAGCAAGAATAAAGTTCTCACCAAAGAATCCCGTTTGGGCTTAAAGAGCCCCATAGGACCCAGGCTCAAAATATGACACAACAGTGAAATGGTCGATCCCAAAAGGCTTGGAGAGAAACGGAGATGAGAATCCTTAAGAAACAGTCCCCTCCTCTAATTGTCAAACACAGCCTGCTCCTAAGCACAGAAACTTTTGACTTGCAGGAAGGATTTCGGTTAAAATTCTCGGCAAACGGCTGCAACGAGTCTGTTCTTACTTCGCACATCTGGAGCTGAAAGAGGCGTCGCTCCTTCTCCATTTCTTCGGCAATCTCGGCCCCGGTGATCTCCGTGCGGATCATCCCGTGCTGCTTTGCATGCTCTCTCTTCTCCTTTTCAATTTTTGTACTGTACGAAAGCAAATGTCACCATTAACACACACGTCTTTCCTTCGACGAGAACCACCCGAATATTTCTTAATTACTGGAGTTAAGAGGCAGGAACCCATAGGGTCGTAGCAGCATCAGAAGTAAAATCTAAGTTCAAAGAGAACAAACCAACTGTGTGTGGATTTTCGCCTGGGAAACGTCTTATATTTTAACTCTGATCTCACACTGGGATAGAGTCATATAAATTGCTTACATTTTGCTTTGCTTGAAGAAATTGTGACGGGTTACTTTTTCTTGGGTCACAACAGATGATGAGACTTATTTCAAGACAAAATACATAATGGATCAGTCTTTGTGGGTATACACGAAAATAAGTCCAAGGTAATTTCCAATATTCCTCTAAATTTGGGCTGTTTCCATATCCCAATGATATACATTTTAATCCTTCAACCACCTGGTACCAGACTACACAAAATAAGGACTGGGAGGGTTCCCAATCTATAATTTAGAATCTTACGAAAACATTTTTCAGTGAGGAGGGGGCCAAGAGGGAACCAGAAAAAAAAGAAAGAGACCCCACATTAAACCCACAGCCCTGAGGCTAATGCTCGGCTATGAGGGATGATACTCCAGTAATCACAGCAACGGTCACAACCCTCTTTCCAAAAATCCATTTAATTTGAAAACAGACTTCTAATTTCAGAAACAGTCTATAATTTCTCGTTGTGAATGCGGAGACTGACTTGGCCTTCAAGTCTTCTTTTAAATTCTGGTGGAGGGAAAATCAAATCCCCCCCAAAGCCAATATCCTTGTTTGTACATAAACAGAGCAGAAAACCATCCCATCACCCCAGTCAGTGGAAAATCCACTATGAACCCGACTGGGAGCCAGGCTAACACCCAAATGCTGTAGCTAAGCAACTCTTTCATCACGCCACCTGACGGTCACTCAGGCACGACTGCAGGGGTTTCACCACCAAGAAAATAAACCTCAGCTCTCTCTCCACTGGCGTGGGTGGGAAGAGAAGCAGGAAGCTACAGACACTGGAGAAGAAACACGAGGGACAGGCATAACTTGAAAGCAGTAACAGGCTTTTGGGTTAACACAGTGACTTGACCATATGGGTTTATTTCTTCCTTCTTCAGTAATCCCACTAAAACGAAAGTCAAGTCATTAAAAAAGTATAATGTTCCAAAGACAAGAATTGGAGACAAAAAAGGATTACAAAGATTTGGAAGGGCAGATCTAAAAAGAGAAAGTCTGCATCCTAAATGATATGGCTCCCTGCTTCGCTGGCCTGTGTAGCTTCCAGAAAGAAAGTTATTCAGCTAAGGGAGCTGAATGGTCCCAGAAGACAGACCTCTAGAATATTCCTGATAGAAAAATCTGTCCTGACATCCTAAAACTTAAAACCTAAAAAGTCTGATATATATGAACTTTCAATCAATTTTTGGGTGCCTTGCAATATGGATAGGCAGTCAAGGATGATAAGATAATTGAGAAAAGGCTCCAAAATTTAAGTGAGGGATTAAAATTAAAAAATGGTGGGGGTGGGGGTGGAGGGAACCAGAAGCAAAGGAGCAGAAAAAATTCATAAAATGTAACCTAGTCCTCAGAAAGCTAAAATAGTGCATCTTCGAAACAAAGGCAACAAAATAAAACAAAAACCAAAAGCCACAGACCAAACCCCAACCAAATGAAAAGGAGCTTTTAGAAATCTAAAATATAATACCCATCAGAAAACTGAAACAGAAAGAACGTTGAAGAAATAACCTCAAACATAACATAGACAAAATAGAACCTCAAACATAACATAGACAAAATAGAAAAGGGAAGAAAATTATAAGGATGACCTCGAAAGTCCAACTTTATATGATGAGGAATTCAAGAATTAAAAAACAAATGAGAAGAATTAAAACACTTTTTTTTCAGAACTGAAGAACTAAAAATTGCAAATAAAAGGCCCATGCACACTCCACAGCACATGGAGAAACTTGGGAAAAGCTATTATAAGAAGACCTCAGCTAGACTTCTAGCTGAAAATAATCCAAAAAAACAACAAAAAAAAAAAACAAAAAAAACCCCACCAAAAAACCCAAAAGAAAACCACCCTTCATATGTCATAGACAAAAAGTAGGAATCGGAGAGGTATCAGGTTTTTTCATTAGCAACAATGGAGTAACACTTTTGACATTTTGAGAGTCAATGATTATAAAATTGAGATTTTACATTCAGCCAAACTCTCATTCTGTGTTTCGGCAGGATGAAGGTATTTTTGGAGTGCCCAAACCTGGTATTTTTACCTCCTTGAAAGCCGCCCTGGAAATGGCTGGAGGTGGGGTGCCCCCAAAATAGGGGACTTCATTGGGAAAGAGGAAGTAAGGGACCTACCACTAGGGAGTGGCCAATGACGGCGGCCGCTCTGATCCACGCTCCAGGAGCCCGTCTCCCCAAGAGAAAAGGAACTGACAGAATTTAATGATGATGGATATATAATCACTACAATAACACATATCATGTATTTTATAAAGAGTCATTATTAATAGGTACTGGACATCTGTTGGGACAGATAAGAAGAAATTCACAAAAGATACATACAGAACTACGCAAATGAAGAAACGAGGCAATTATTTCATTAAGAAAAAGCAAAAAAATTGTACTATAAGAATGGAAATTCAATCATAATACATCACCGAGATTCACAATGATTAATGATATAAAAAACTGAAACACTGGTAAGAGGTTTAACCGCAACCGTATGAATCATCCTGGATGAAGCGGGGGCAGGAAGAGTGACGGGGGGTGGTCGTGCCAGAGAGCCACATCCTCAGCAGCAGAGCGACACATCACAGATGACCCGAGAAGGAACAGCAAGGGAGGGCCAGGGAACGTGGAGCAAACCAGCGAGCAGGTGAGAGCTGATAAGGAGACCAGGGGGCAGGGACGGGTAGGCAGAGGGTCGCTGAGGTTCCATGAGGAGCTCGCCCGCTGCCCGCTTAACATCCACTCTCCCCCCTTCGTTATTAGGAAAAGAACTTGGTATCATCAGCTTTAACTCACCAAGTTTAGATTCTGGGGACAATACAGACAAGTGACCAGCAAGATAAGTTAGTATGTCGTGTGAGAGGGGCAATGAAGAGCGCTTGGTCCACCCCAGAATGCTTTTTATTCTTTGATAAACTATGATGTTGAAGGCCTTGTTATTTGGGGTTTCTATTATATACAGACAGAGTAAGTCTTAACTATTTGATGTTTTATGTACATGTATTGTTTTGGCCAAATAATATTTTATCATTAAAAAACCTAACAGAAACTATTTGAGTGCCTTACCTATGCTAGACAATGGTGACAATCGCTTCAACACATTATCTTGTCCTCACAAAAACCTTGAGAAGTAGGCACGCTAGACAATGGTGACAATCACTTCAACACATTACTTTATCTTGTCCTCACAAAAACCTTGAGAAGTAGGCAATTTTTTATGCTATTTTACAGGTGAGGATCAAAGTTAAGATTTGTATGCAGATCTCATTCCCAAATCTGTGATCTTAATCATGACACCTCAATGCTTTCGGAGTCTAAACGAAAAACACCCAGCCTCTCAGTTATCAAAGTTGATTAACTTTTTTTTTTTTCATTATTCAGTTTTCTGTAACTCATAATCAAATGAGTCCTATTACATTAAATAAGACATATTTTTTTCTTCCTGTACTATCATACGTCAGTGAGAAAGAAGCCTATCTTAGGACAATAATTTGACAAGGATTTATTAAAAAACAAAAACAATATCAAAACTTTCTTCCTGAGGTCCTAAAATCTGGACCCACTCGACTCACTGGTCCTGTTCTTTATTCCTTCAATAAATATTTTCTACGTGCTAAAGACTCTGGCAGGCACTGGGAAACCTAACATCATTCATGGGGGCCATGTGGTCACTGTCCTCGTGGAGTTCAGATTCTAGGGGACAATACAGACAAGTGAACAGGCAGGTTCACACGCTGTGAAGGGCACCCGGATCACTTTAAAACACTTTACTTCTATGATATTCATAATACTGCCCACCAGACACTTTGAGGTCTTCAACCAACACATGGATTTTTGTATCGATACCGTTGTACCACCAATATTGGTGATACTTAGGTTGACAAAGCACATATCTTGTTTTGTCGTTCCTTGTCCTGCAGGGGAGATATTTTCCACAAGTCCAGAGCAAAATATTTCTCTCTCTTTTGAGGGCTCCCCACCCCCTTTAGTAAGCACTCCGTACCATCCAGGTTCAAGGGCGTGTAGTTGGTGCTGGGCAGGGCAGCCCTCAGCTCACAAGCATGAGCTTCACCGCCCGCTTTCAGAAAGAAAGACATGCTGGCCACTGTGTTCACTGACATCGGCTGACCACTTTAAGAGCCTTTTTGTTCTCAGCTGCCTTTGTAACTGTCAATACACAGAAGTATTCCCAAGACAGCAAGTCTCCAACAATGCACTTATTACATAAGCAACTGTGAAAGCAGTCTGCGAGGAAAACACTTAACCCTGAATTTTTCTTTTGCCTGTGTTTTCATTTTGCAGTTACTGCCACCTACGAAAGCGCTTTTATTCTCTGTTTATAGTTATTCAAGTTTACGGCCAAGATTTCTGTTAACAGCTTTATGAAGATGAGCAAGGCCCCTACAACGTGCTTCACGTGCATTATGTCCCCAACCCCTCACAACGAGCCCAGCAGGGAGGGCATCTGACTGCAGCGCCCCATACGGCTCCGCTCTGGCTCAGGGTCACATGGCCCTGTGACCTTCTGCAATGCAAGCCCCTCTGACTCCCTAGCTGTCAGTTTCCTGATCCACGGACAGCCAGAGAAAGCTGTGCCTGGATGCAGTGGGCGTGGCACATAAAACACTTTCACAGGCCCGGTGGGCATAAGGAAGTCACAGATGTTAGCTACGTTTTTACTGTTTCCCAATTGCGATGCTATCCAGGTATGTAAACGTCTATAGTTATACGTTAACTATAATGAAAGAAGAGTGGCAGCAGTCACAGACCTACGACGTGATAGTTAATATCTATCGACCACGAAAGCCAAACGACTTGATAATAAAAGCGCACGAGACACAACCACGTTTAATTAGGTCAGCACGTGCCACCTCACGGCCCTTACCAGGACATACTAAACATTTTTTTTTTATCCAGAAGATATTAGTTAATGGCTGTGTCCTTTGTCCAGTTACTCTCTTGGGAAAATTCACAACAGTATAAAAACAGAAAGCAAACAAAGACAAAACGAAAACCACTTACAACTTCGTCTCATAATCTTTCCAAGCTTTGTCGAACGGCTTCTTGAGATCCTTAGGAAAGAGAGAATGAAACTGAATGTACTTTTGCTTAAAGGTTAATAAATACTTCTGAAATGACATCTTAGCAAAAGTGCTGTCTTCTATAGGACACTTGAAGCTTTACGCGAGACGTGTGCACGCACGTCACTCTATCTGCTACACGTGAGGAGCCTGAGAGCTGGCAGGCCGAGCACCCGCTAGTGAGTGGCCTTGCCCCTCAGCCAACGACATCACGAGAAGTGGCACATCTTTCCCAATGATCGTTTCCCAACATGTTTTATGCTGAAAACGTGCAGAGTGCCTTTCGAACACGAGCGCCACCGTGATCTTAACAGGAAAGAGCCGATCCTACCGGGAGACCGTGACCGTCGGGTTTGTGCACACTTACGCCTTTGACTCCTTTCAGGTCCCCTTTGAGCAGCGAGTCCAAGGTGAAGATCACGTTGTGGCTCAGACCCTGGAGCTGGAAGGCAAAGCGGAGACGGGAAAGTCAAAAAGGGACGGGCACACAGAGCAGGGAGACCGGCTGGTGCCGGCGAGTGGTTCCCACATGCCAGGCCATGCGGGCACCCCCCACGAGCCCGCGGGTACCCCCACACCGTTGGCGGCACAACAGCTCGCGAGCGGAGACCTACTGAAATGGCAGCTCTTGATCTGACTCTCCTGCAAATGCCCCCCGCAGAGGAAGGAGGAGATGATGCAACCGCCTTTTACCACGTTTTATATTTCTGTGTGGCATGTGTCATGATCTAAAACCGCCCGCTCTGCCTCTCTGTATGTTCTGCCTCTCCGACCAGAACAGAGGCTCAGCGAGGCAGGGCCTCCACTGTCCTGCTCACGACTGAATTCTCGGTGCCCAGATTCCGTGAGAAAGACGCCGTGTTTGGGGGGTGCCATCTACTCTGGTTCTTCACTCGGGTTCCGAGGCAGTGGCCTGGGTCTCCCTGATTCTAAGACGGTACACAGAGGTGTGCACAGAGGAGATGGAGCTGGTACCCAGCGGAGGGAAGGGTGACAGGCAACCAAGGGATGGACGGACAAGTGCGACACAAAGACTGAGATTTCGTAGTACAGTTTGTCTTCAAGGAGACCCCTAGTGTAATGAGTCCCCACTTAATGTCCTCAATAAGTTCTGCGACTTTAAGCAACATGACATAAAATGAAACCAATTATACCAATAGGCTAACCGATATGAACAAGAGTTGAGTTCCCACAGCATCCCATCAGCATTATAATAAAACGCTGTTGAGCGAAACGATGCTTCAGTCAAGCACCTGCCATGACTTAGTGAAGTCGGTTTTAGTGGCATGAAACCGAGGCTGCAGGGACCTGCAGAACCAGGTTACAGATGGAGAGCTTGGTGGGGTCCCTCATCCAAGAAGTAATTCTACTTACGTGCAAGCACATTCATTTGTCTGTCCATCCGTCCGTCAGTCCATCCATCCACCTGTCCATCTATCTATCATTTACCAACGCTGACACTTAGGGGCTTTGTGCATGACCCTCTTAACCACATCTCTGAAGTGAAAACGCTATAACCTACTGAAGATGGCCGCTGTGAAGACGGAGTGAGTTAAAGCATGTGCAAAGTGCCGGCTCATGCTTGACACCCAGGAAGCGCTGAGTACACGTTTGTTCTTCAACTCCTCTGGGTGGTCACTGTGAGTAAGGCACCGGGGGAGGAGGGGAAGGACAGGAAGACCTTCTCCTCGGCCCTTACCTCTCCCCAAGCCTTTCCTGTGATTCTCACCTCAGGATTCCTGCAGCTCACGAGTCATTCAACACCCCAGCCTCCCCTGACCCCCGATCTTACACACAAGAAAAGTTTTCCAGTGCAAACTACCAGAGGGACTGGATCAGAAACGACCAATGTGTCCTGTCATTTCAAAGACAAAGAGATTCCCACCAAGACAGCTCCATCCAAGAGTCAGAGGGCCAAAGACGCAGCCTACGCCCTGTGGCACTGATTCCTGGGGAGCGGGGTGAAGGACCTGAGATACCACGATGGCGTGTGGCTTTCTAAAGGGCCGCAGGACACACCTTGGTAAAGAGAATACCTAGGGTAGTAAAATTTCATGGTGGAAGTCACTGGGGAAAAATGTCTTTAAAACGGCTGCTAGGGGGAGGGGTGAGAAGGTAATAATAAAGAGAGGGAAAAAAGGTTGAAAAACACTGGCCTTGGGTACAGTACAGAAAAATAAAGATGAACAGGACTCATCCTTGGCCCTAGATGGGGAGATGGAATAAAATGTGGTGAACTCGCTGTGGGGTACAAGCCCCTGCCCGCTGCTTTCCTGTGGGCCTTCGGAGTCCGTGTGGAGGTGGGTAAGTGAGGCAGGGGCCTGACCTGCTCTCCACCACTCAAGCCAGCACCTGCCTCTCCCCTGCTCGTGGAGAGCCTTGCATTATCTTCTTCAAGGAACTCAGCGTCCCTGACCATTTCGGTGTGTATCTGCTTCCTCGTTCGTTTGCTGTGTCCCCAGTTCGCACACGAGCTCTCTGAGAGTGAGGTCTGTACGCTCACCGCTACATTTCCAGAACTCAGAACACGGCCTAGTGCAGAACAGGCATGCGATAAATAGTTGGAGAGTAAAGGCAATGCGCAATCATGTGTGCGTAAGGTTCTTCTCTACGGACTGTTTATACCGATGGAAAGGTCAGTGCTTATCAGCAAGGGGCTGGCTAATCGATTATGGAAGTTCTAAACAGCCATAAAGATGAGAAAGCTCTTCATGTCTAACTTTGGAAATACCTCCAAGATAAGCTGTTATGTGATAAAAGCCAAGTATAAAACAGTATTCATGGTGTACGAGGATTTGTATATGTTTGTGCTTACGTTATTTCTGAAAGGACACAGAGTAAACTGCTGGTTCTGGTCCCTTTCAGGTGTGGACACTAGAGGGGGAGAGAAACTTTTACGTGTACTGTTTTGCATTTTTTAAAAGTTTGGGTAGCATGTACTATATTGTTTATTCAAAAGTAAAAATTCTAAAATGAAAAATAAAAAGTGATTATAAATCATTTTTAATGTTTAGTCATCAATACCTCAAATCCTTTGTGAAATGAAGCAGGAAAAAATCCCATTATGTCATTGCCACCTTGATTTGAAAGCTGTCTGAGAAAAATAACAATAAAGGAATTATGAAATTCTGTGGTTAGTACTGAATGTGAGGGGCGTTTAGGAAGAAAAGTCCTCAAAAGCCATGGACTGACCACACAACAAACACAAGACACGTGTCTCAACCTTTTGATGTCGTCACTGTGGTGAGGCATGGGGCCGGAGGCAGTGGACTGTAGATGCATTGATGGAAAACCCCAAGAATTATGAATTTCTCTGTGGTTATCCACACACATACTCTTGGGAGCTGATAAGAAACCAAGAAGTTAAATATTGTATATTGTGAATCCAGGATCTTCCCAGTGATGAGCCTATACAAGAAGGCCATAGGAAACGTTTTTAAAACTTACAAACTCTTCCCAACTTACTTCCCAGGAAAAAAGTTAATTTATAAAAACCGGCAAAGGAGGGTTGTTTTGAGTGAAGAGTGAATCTTAAAGATACAGAGAGAAGGCAAAGAGAAAGCAGACCAGTCGCGAGGAGGAAACACTCAGGAATTACTGAGGGGCAAAGCAGAGCTCCCTTCCTTGGAGACAGAACCTACTTTCTCAGCCATCCTCAGGGGTTGCTCTGTGACAGAGACGAATCACATAACTTCACAGTTGGCGGATTCTATAACTTTGTTGTTTTTTTTGTTTGTTTTTAATTTTCATTTTTTTATTTTCCAGTTCTTTCAGGAACTCTTTTCAGGGCCTGACAAGATGTGCAAGCTGATGTGTAAGAAAGCCATCTCCAGACACCTGCGACACGCTGACAGAACGCAATCGCGTGGGAGAGCGGGCTTCCTGCCGCACCTTCGCGCTCTTAAAGGGCTTTTAAAAGAGCTTTTCGAATCTTTTACATGGCTATTTCCCATTTATTTTACTAAAGTTCTACTGACTCCGTTCCCATGTACTCAACTCCAATCCATTTCCTTTCCTTTCATGATAAAGTTGAATCAACCTAAGTTCTTTATGTGACTCCAGCTGACAAGAGATCGAAGGGCATGATTTAAAAAGCGCATCTCCTTCCGTTTTATTAATCCAATGACACAGTGAAAACCACTTGGGGAACGGTACTTAGGTGTGGTCACTGCATATGCTTTCCTAACACACTACTGCTTGTTTCCTTCCTCACAGACGGCTGTCCCCCCTGCGGGTGTAGACATCAAGCCTGACCAGAAATTCGGAATCAATCAGACGGGAGGAAGCGGAGGTCTACCCTTTCACTGTGCAAAAGTGACTTGTTTAAGCAAATAAACTGTAATTAATATTGGCTTTGATAAAATTAACCATTTATTCTTACAATTGTTTAGACACTGTGTGCCATGCCAATAGCCCCCTTGATCCCGGCCGCTGGTGACGACGTCACGAATGGTTTTCCTTGGTGGGCGCGCACACACGCGCACATGCACACGCGCACACGTGCACACGCGCGCGCGCACACACACACACACACACAGTCCCGGTGTTTTTTTTTGTTTACCTAACCTTATAGCTTTACCATGAAATGAAACGGCCTCATTTATGTCCTGACTGCCACATCACCCATCTCTCCTCTCTGGAAGGTTGCTCCCTAGGGAGGCACTTCATCCTTTCTGTTCACTCACTGACAAGATGCCACTGCAGGAGCGAGAAGCGGTCCTGTAACCTGAGGCCGCCTGTGCGGGCTGTGGCGTGCTGCCCCTTGCTGCACAGGTAGAGGGACAGCGGCCCGGCAGCGGAGGGCCGGAGCGCACAGCTCTGCGATGCCACCTCCACGCACACGAGACTGCATCGATTAACAAGGACGTAACCGGCCTGCTTTGTCACCCTGCATTAAGTCGGACAGTCTCCCTCCCCTGCCCACGGGTTCTCCCTCTCCTCTGCCTCCAGACAGTTCTGCTGAGAGTAAGGGAATGCAGTCTGCTGCCTTGCTCAACATGCTGGAAAATCCAATTAAAACAAGGAGCCTGCTCCCAGCAGTTAGGCTGATGTCTCCCTGGCAGAAATCAGGTATTCTGTCCCAGTGTTAACTCCTTCATGCCCTGGAGAGCTGTTTACCAGCTAGAAGCTATTTAAACTGGAGCCTTGTCTGTCGCCCAGGCCGCTTCCCGGGGTATTATGATACAGAGGAAGCCAGGATGCCCACACGCATGTGGGCCACGCGTTACTCCAGGCCCGGTGACTCTGGCGGACTGTGTCGCCTTGCTGACTCGGTTTCCTGATTTTAAAGTGGGTGTTCCAGCACCTTCTTAACTACCCTGCGCCCATGTGGGAGGGTCAGGGAGACACGACGCCAGTGCAGCTCCCACGCCAGCCGGCACAGGGTGCTGCTTCTACACACTCGGCTTCACCTGACAACCACAGGTGTTTATGTAGGCTGTT